AAGCACTCAGCTAGCATCAACTTACCGTGCCCTTTCTTTTAAGGCACCTTTGTTCATACTCTCTCCTGAAGTCTTTCCTTCCTAATAAATTCTACTTTAAAACTTCTACTTGAACTTGCTGTAAAATTCTTTTTTGTGGCAAAGTCAAGAACTCACAGAACAACTACAACCCTCACTGCCTGGCATCAGTATCAGCTGGGTAATTTGCTCTGTCTCCTTTTCTTCATCTATAAAATAGGGATAACAATTGTTTTTATTTCATAGTGTTTTTGTGAGGATTGTGTTCATTTTTATAGACCACTTAACAGTGCCTGGCATACAAAAATACTCTCTCTTAACTATTGTTAATTGCATTATCCTAACCTCAAAATAAGTTTTTCCTTTTCTAATCCAGTCTTGGCATTTTTACTTGTAAAGCATGTTTTCTGCTTTTATATCTATAAGAAGTGTTTTCAAATGGTGCCAAAGAAGAGTTGTTAAATCCTAATTGAAGGAGGATCAGAAGTTCTGACTTACGCATTCTGACAATAGGGGTTAAGTTAACTGTTGGACAGTCTTAACAGAAGCTTGATGGTGGCTAGTCAACAAATGAATTAGCTTGACCAGCTGCTTTTTTTGTCTGGGAAAATAACTTGGACTTCAGTGTTATGTTAGCAACAGATGCTCTGTTTGAGCAGAGGAAGAAAACATAATTGCTCCGGGTATGTAAGGCATACTGTTGGATACAGAAAACCACAGTATTATCTCTTAGAAATAAACAGAGGGATTTTGTTTATATCGAGTTTCTGGGACACTTTTGTGAACAGGATGTGTTTTGGATAGGTGGCTTTGTTTGATACTCAAACCTTTTGATTATGTCCTGAAGTGGTTTTAAGATAAAATCCCAAAGGTTTCTTTACCTGATGAAATGTGCATATTCAAAGAAAACATTGAAACAAAAAGACATTTGCACCTTTTTAGAATCTTGGAGCTTGCAATTTGATAGTTTAAGTTAAATTTTTGTACAAATCATTCACATTCATAGAGATCACTGTTTCTAGGAAAGATATTTACTGTAGGAATAATAAAGGGTGGAGAGGAAGGGAGATGAAAGCCCAGGAGAAGAAAGTCACCAAGAACATACATTGTCAATTGTTTGCTTTTCCCAACTTTTTTCTGTGTTTTTTTTACTTTCTACTTACAAAGAGATAGTGAGTGGCAGGTGAGACTTGACTGTACAAGACTGGACAAACCTAGATTGGGGAGATTGAACCGAGCGGGAGTAGTTTTAAAACATAAACTTGCAACAGGTAGCAAGTATCTATGCTTGGCTTTCTCATCCCAGTTTCCTCCTCTACTCTTGTATTTGCTATTCTTTGCCTTCATTTTACACCTTAGCAGTTCAAAGGCCACCCTCCAATCCAGATAACCAACCACTGTCCCATGTTTTTACTGAGAGGTTACTCCTCAGTTTAAAAAAAAAAATGTTTCCCAAAGAAAGGGAAAAGAAATTTGAGCATTCAGTGTTGTGTTGGACTTTCATAGCAGCTCTTATTCCTATTGCACTGATATGGAAAATGAAGCTTAGAGAGGTTAAGTAGCTCGTTCAGAGTCCCACAACTAGCAAATGGTAGTCTGCTTCAAACCAGGTTCTTTCTCAGCCCAAGCTTTTTTCATGACCACCCTTCTTGCCTGAATTCTTTGCATTTAAATAGTGGTATGATTAAAGCAATTAAAAACTTTAAAATGTTTACAAGGATAAACTTATATAAATAGTTTTTTTTTTTTTTTTTATGAAGTTAGTTTAGTCTAGTCAAAATAGTTGCTAGATGGTGTTGATCATGATTTAGGTAAAAACCTGGAATCCATATCTATCTGTCTATATAGACAGATAGATAGATAGATCCCCTTTTTATGTAATATATATATATTCCCTTCCTCCATATCTTTTTCATGTTTTTGAGGAAATGCCTTAGCTTTCTAAAGTAGAACTGTGAGCAAGAAAGTATAAATGAACACCACCCCGCTGACATATTTATGTTCACAACTTTTACATGCAAATACCTTCATTTTTTAAATTGAACTTGGCCGTTTTTAAACGTAAGAAAGATAGTGAATTGGGCCTTCTTATTTTTGAGTTTCAACACAATGCTTCTTTGCAATGCTTGGCTGAAAGTAAGCAGGATTATTCATGCAGCAAATGCATATTGAATGTTTGCCATAGTGAAGATATTTTACTCTAACCTAGGGTGGACAATATTTTAATGTTAGTGGATCTTACTGCAGTCTTATTTTTGTATGTTTTTCACCCTCTGTTGGCACTTCTTCCCAGTCACAAGGCTCTGATAGAATCTGGTTTCAGTTATTGATGATTGTTGATTGATAGTTAACTATATTTTGAACTAATATATTAAAAAGTGTTAGCACAGCCTGTGTACTTTTGTTATTTTATAAATGTAATACAAGTTTATTGTAGGAAAATTGGAACTATAAATACATAAAAATAAAAATTACCCATAATCCTGCCACCCAGTGATAACCTTTCTCAACATTGATATGCATATATAAACTTGTAAAAAGTTATAAATTTGAAAAATATTTGCACTTTGGAATATTATTCAGTGGTTAAAAAGAATGAAATTATGTCTTTTGCAGCAACTTAGATGAATTAGAGAATATTATCATATGTGAACTAACTCAGGAACAGAAAACTAAACACTGCATGTTCTCATTTATAAGTGGGAGCTAAACTAAGGACTTGCATAGACATAGAGAGTGGTATAATGGACATTGGAGACTCAAAAGAGGGACGAGAGAATAGGTAGAGGGACAAAAAAATCACCCATCAGACTGTATAAAAATGGTACATGTACACAATGGAATATTACGCAGCCATAAAGAAGGACAAACATGAATTTCACAGCAACTTGGATGGATTTAGAGTCTACAATACTAGTGACCTATCATAGAAACAAAGAACAGAGTACCACTCATAAGTCACTAATAAGTGAACCCTGAACAATTATCATAATACTATAAGAAAGCAGTAGTGGGATACTGCCAGGGTGGGGGGGTGGGGGGAACAACATCAATAAGGATGCCTGTTCTCAAACCAGGCAAATTGGTGACCAAAGGGAGGCCTAAACTTTACGTGTACTATATCCACTTGTATACCTAATCCTGAATTGTACCAATCTTTAAAATAAAAAGAAGATGATTACCCTGGAAAAGAGAGAAGAGTAAAGATGAGTTTTTTTTTCCTTTGAAAATGTAACTTTTAAAGGTAATTTCCACTGTTCAATTGTAATTAGGTGATAAAGCAAATTGGAACGCAAAAATTGACTTCAGAGTGAGCCACTGCACCTACATGTAAGATGACTAAGTACCCTTCCTAATTCTCCTGGACTCTTCTATGAGCTATTTGTGTGTGTGATGTGATTCCACATTGAATGCATGTGATTTAACTCTTTGGGGGAAGATTAAAATGCCAAAAAAAATCACCTATCAGGCACAATGTGCACAGGTTGGGGGGTGGGTACACTTAAAGTCCAGACCAAAACTATTTGTACCCCTCAAAGCTACTGAAATTTTAAAAAAATTTAAAAATTATGGTCTCATGCTGTATGAGGGGGGGACCCAAAAAAACCAGAATTGTCTTTTGGAGAGTGGGCCCTTTATAGTACACTCAGAATTTTTTCCTCTGGATCAAACTGTCAGCCAAAGTTTTTATCTGAAAGTTTTGAGAATGTTGCCTCTCAATTTGTGGAAGAAACGTCCTGAGTTGTGGCAAACAGGTGACTGGTTCTTCCACCATAACAACACACCTGCCCACAGTAGTTTTTGACTAAAAAATGGCATTACTCCCATGCCTCACCCTCCCTTCTCTGTTGACCTTATTTCACTCCAAGTGACTTTTTTTTTTGTTTCTTCGAGTGAAAAAAGTCCTCAAAGGGAAATATTTAACCGATATAGGAGAGGTGAAACAAAAAAAGGCAGAAGCACTAAAAGACATCAAAATCATCAAGTTCAAAAGGTATTTGGAGCAGTGGAAAAAGTGTCTCGACAGGTGTATTGCATCAAATGGAGAGTACTTTGAAGGTGACTGAAATTTTAACATGTAAGAATAAATACACAGTTTTGAATAAATGAATTCCAGTTGTTCTTGGCCCCCCGCTCCATATATGCTGCTTTATAATTTGCCTTTCACATAATATGTTGGAAGTATTTTTCCATGTTAATCATTCTACAACACTTTTAATGATTCAACAGAATTCTTTGGATGTATTATTTTATTTTATTTTATCAATACCCTTTTGTTGTACATGTTTATTGATCCCAGCCTTTTAATGTTGTAAATAACAGATGAGCATCCTTATAGTTAAGTCTCTGCTTGCACCCTTAATTATTTACTTAGAATTAATTAGTAGATCTGGCATTACTGAGTCAATGTGTATATACTTTTAAAACATCCTTTGATATTTATCAAAAGTTACTGTATTGCCAAGTTGCCCTTGAAAGAGTTATTTAGTTTATACTATCCGCAGTGCCTGAGAGCACCCCATCTCCATTCCGCTTTACCTTTCTTCATTAGATGCTTTCCTTGGCAAAACATGAGCCTCCTTGACTTTACTGGGTAAACCAGCCAGTTCAAAGGCCACTACACATGGTACAGGCTTCTTCAGCCTCTAACATGCTATAGTCTCTCAAACCTTAGATGGGAGAGTACCTCTTCTGTCTTGATATTTTACATCAGGCTTCAGGGTGGCAAGGCAACATTCCCCACCAGTTTCTTTACTAAGCATTAGGTTTTTTTCTAGCTGGTAAACTAGACAATCAGAATTGATTATAGATTCAGTCACGGTTATATCTGTATACAGGTAGTGCTCCCAAATATTTCACTATTAGGGTGTAGCTTTCTACCAGCTAGCTATTTTATGATTATCAGATTCCTGAATTTCTTGATACTCCTTTTTCACCTTCTTGCATCACATCTGAGCAATCTTGTTAATTTTGCCATAGCTATGGACAACTGGCAAGATTCTGATTATCTAGCTTACCAGCTGAATGGAGCGTTCTGGATTTTAACTCTTGACATCTACCTAAAGAGGAGAGGTCTATGGTGTGGAGTGATGATGGCAGTTGGGCATTTCCCAGGAATGCTATGTGCTGGTTTGTTTCATTAATCCCTTTTCTCTAGTTGCAAGAGCCCTATGATTGTTATTTTTATTTTTTATTTTTTTGAGTTGTAGTCTCACTCTGTCACCCAGACTGGAGTACAATGGCCACTCCCGGCCACTGCAGCCTCGACCTGCTGGGCTCCGGCGATCCTTCCGCCTCAGTCTTCCAAGTAGCCGGAATTGCAGGCATGCGCTACCACACCCGGCTGATTTTTTGATTTATTGTAGAGATGAGGTCTCGCTGCCCAGGCGGGTCTCGACCCTGCGGGCTCAGGCAGTCCGCTCACCTCAGCCTCCCAAAGGCACGGGATTACAGGCTGAGCCCCCGAGCCCGGCTCCCTATGATTATTAAAGTCCCCAATAGTGTAAGCAGCCTAGGATAGTGTAAAAACAGGAGGCTCTAGATTTGAATTATGACTGCCAGTTGATAGCTGTATGACCTAACTTAAGCTTCTTAACTTACAGAAGCTTTCCTTTTCCAGCCTTAAAATGTGAAGACTAATGCTACTTTTTAAAAAATCTGTCATGTTTAGAAAGATACTTCATGTCAATAGCTGAACACAGTGCCTAGCACATAGAAAATACTTAATAAATGCTAACTGAATTATCTATAATAATAGTTTGACCCTTTTAAAATATATATCCACTAGTGGTATTTGCAGTGGTTCTGGACTTGTGTATCTCAATTGTCTGGAATACTAATGCAGAATTTGACTCAGAAGTCTTCTAGTCTGAGAAGATGCTAGTGGGAAACCCATATGTCAGAGTTTCTCAAATTATGACCACATGAATGTTGATATCCTCTGATTCAGGGCATAGTAGTTAAATCTAAGAACAGTGGTTTTCTGCCACTGATCCTAAGGATAAGAGGTTTATGCATCATAATTTCAGGGACTTGCTGCTTGGAATGGTTTCCAGATAAGTAGCCCAAGTTGGCAGACTTTGTTGTTGTTGTTGTTGTTAGAAGTAGCAAAATTAAAACTCACATGTGAATTTGGCATCACATATATTAAGCTAAAACCAGTAGAACGATGTTATTTCAAAGTGATGTGCGTCATGTTCTCAGACTCATAAGATGATACGTCTCTATTAAGAGGTAGCTGTTTCTGATGTCCTTGTGTCTGACAGGGTGGTACATGTTAGAACTTGTTGATCAGTTGCAGTTTTTTCTAATCTTCAAGTAAAATCGTTGTCCTTTTGGTGCCCTTAGCTTTTCTGACCTTTTCATGAGCATCTGATCTTTACCTTATCAGATAGGATGGTGTAATAGTTAAAAGCACAGACTTAGGAATCAAATTGCCTTTGTTTGAATCCTGGCTATGGGACATATTTGTTCTGAGAGTCTGGGCAAGCTACCTAATTTCTCCATGCTTCAGCCTCCTTATTGAAATATGGGGATAATAATAGTAATTTACTTGATATGATTCTTGAGAGAAATGAATTAATAGGTAAATAGGTATATCGTTTATGCTTTTACTTCACATTATTGATAGTGTTTATAAGCATGACTTTAAGCTATGCTCCTTTGAAGAGAGTACTTCATGTCTTGCACATCCCAGATTACTTTGATTCATCCCATGGGAATTGTTGCAGTTGTGCTTGACTGGGGTGTATAAAACTTTTTTTCTTATTGGTTTAGCAGTTGCCTTAGTCTAAATCTATAGTAAAGTTATTGTAGGTTTTTTTTTTTTTTTGAGGGCCTGGTAATTATGCTGCATGATCACAAGGACAATTGCTGAGATTGCCCTTGCTACTTCCTCTGCAGACATAGTTTCAATATATTTTACCATGATCCAGTAGAATTGGTATTTGTCAAAACATATCTTCAGACCTGCGTCACCTAAAAATTTTTAGTTATGGCCACTTGAAGTCTTACAGTTTTCTAGATATGCTTCAGATGATTTTTGTGTGTGTGCGCCTTTATTTATTTTCTCTTATCAGTCACTTTATCCATCAATGTTTGGAAGGTAATGATGGACTTAAGATCTAATATGAAAATCTGAGACCCTCATTAGGCATCTTTCAGGTTGATAGAATCCCATGGAGCAGATGAAAGTTGTCTTTACCTTTCTTCACCCATGGGATTTTGATAATTAAAAAAAAATTAGACAAATATATGTCACAATGGGCTCATTCTCTAAGTACATTTTTGTAACTTGTTTTAGCAGTATATTGTATATATACTTTAGAACAGTGGTTATAGGGAAAGGAACTGATAAATGGGAAGGCTTCTAGGTGGGAAACAAGACATGTTAGAGAAATTCATAGCAGGCTACTGCAGCTGGAGTGCAGCAAGAGAGAGGAAGTGTGCTGTGAGATGAAGCAGATGAGGCAGGCAGTAGACAGATTGCGCAAGATCTTACAGATCATGTTAAAGATTCTTAATTCTATTCAAAGATCAATGGGAAGCCATTGAAGAATACTGATCGGGAAGAGTGATGCTGTATTAATCTAGCTGCAATACATAGAGTGCTGATTGCTGGAGAGAAAGACTGTGACAGAGACCAGTTAGAAGTTTTGCTAGGCCGGGCTTGGTGGCTCAGCCTGTAATCCCAGTGCTTTGGAAGGCCGAGGTGAGTGGATTGCCTGAGCCCGCGGGTTCGAGACCCACCTGGGCAACTTGGCAAGACCTCATCTCTACAATAAATCAAAAATTAGCTGAGTGTGGTGGTGTGCGCCTGTAGTTCCAGCTACTTGGAAGGCTGAGGCGGAAGGATTGCCGGAGCCCAGCAGGCCGAGGCTGCGGTGGCTGGGAGCGACCACTGCGCTCCAATCTGGGCGACGGAGTGAGACTACAACTCAAAAAAAAAAAAGAAAAGAAATTTTGCTAGAGTGTAGGTTGAGATTTGGTGTTTTGTTTTGTTTTTTTGAGTTGGAGTCTCACTCTGTTGCCCAGACTGGCATGCAGTGGCCGCTCCCGGCAACAGCAGCCTCAACCTGCAGGGCTCCGGCGATCCTTCCGTCTCAGCCTTCCAAGTAGCTGGAACTACAGGTGCGTGCTA